GCACTCCAGTCTGGGTGACAGAGTGAGACTCCAACTCAAAAAAAAAAAAAGCTAGATGTGGTGGCACATGACTGTAGCCCCGGCTACTTGGGAGGCTGAGGGAATAAGATAGCTTGAGCCTAGGACTTCAAGGCTAGCATGAGCTATGAACATGACACCGCACTCCAGCCTGGGCAACAAAGTAAGATCTTGTCTTTAAAAAAAAAAAAAAAAAATCCTCTGTCCAAAACTTTCCCACATGGAGAAGAGAACTTTTGCCTCCAAGCAAAAATTTGAAAGCCTTTAAATCACAGAGGTAACTCTTTATCTTCCAGTTTGTTGGCAAGTCCTACCCTCTAAGTTAGAGCTTAGGGTGACACTATTCAACAAATCTAGTTTCTCTAGACTCTAACTCTCTGAGTCACTGGATTCCCTGGATTCCCTGTGCCTAATTAGGCTTTTAGTCAGCTGCCTCCATCTCCAAATTTTGCCCAGTGGTTCTGCCCCTATCTGGCTTACTACCTGCTGATGATTCGGGTCCCTTTGCTCCTGAAGAAAATAGGTTTGAATCCTGAGTCACGTACAACGGGTGGAAGACCCTGGCTATTCTCAACACAAAATGATGCTCCTAGAGTGTTCCTTAAGACAAAGGAAGTACTACATGCCATACCTTCCTATCTCTCCTATATATCAGAATGTTCTTAGGGATATGAAAAATGAATCTATTTTTAAAACAGTATGGAATAAGACTTACCCAAGATTTTTATCATTGCTGATGGACACACATATCTCCTGGAAACAGGCCATGTTACCTAAAATTCCCACACAGATTTCCTGCCAAATCAAAATCCACAAGTCACAATGACACTGAGGTGAAAGACAAATACAAAAATAATAACTTGAACAAAAATTTTCATTGAGTCAAGTTTTAGGGCAAGGAGGAAAGGAAGCAGGACACAGAAGTTCATACACTGCCTGTACTCTTTGACTAGCTTATAGTATTTGAGAAGGAATGAAAGACACAAGAAAAAAAAAGATCAAAGGCAGAAGCTAAATAAAAAATTATGGAAGAATTCTAATGGATGAAATGAATCTCAAATGATTGGTAAAATTTAGATATGCAAACAAGAAGAAACACATTCAAACAAGGGGAAAGTATCAGCAAAGGCAGGAAGCAAATAATGTACATGGCTAACACAGGAGACAATAAAGAAAGTACTCTGACTGTGGTACAAAGTGAGTGAATAGCATGAGATAAACAGTGCAGGTATAAAGGACTAGGATTAAGGGCTTACAATGCCATTCTGAAGAGTAAAACTTAATCTGGGAGGTAACTCGGAGTCATGAAGATGCTCAAGAAGGTGAGACAACATACTGAAAGGAGTCTCAGGAAGATCACTCTGGTAGCAAAATGCATAAGGCATTACAGTAGTTCCTTCTTCTCTATAATTTAATTACCCACAGTCACCCTTGGTCTGAAAATATTAAATGGAAAATTCCAGAGATAAATAATTCATGCTTTAAATTACATGTTTTCCGAGTAGCATGATGAAATTCCATGCCATCCCACCTAACATGTGAATCACCCCTTCATTCAGCACATACATGCTGTATACACTACCAGTCCATTAGTCAATATTTCTGGCCATCTTGGTTATCAGATTGTCATGGTATCACAGTGCTTGTGTTCAAGTAACCCTTATTTCACTCAATAACGGCCCCAAAGTACGAGAGTCATGATGCTAGCAATTCATTTTTGTTGTTGTTGTTTTTGTGTTAGTACTAAACCATTTTATATATGATGCTGGCAATTTGGATTTGCCAAAGAAACTATTAGGTGCTATCTTTATATGGAAAGGTGAAAGTTCTCAACTATGAAAGGAAAGAAAAAACTTGTGTGCTGAGGATGCTAAGATCTATGGTAAGAACAAACCTTCTATCCATAAAATAGTGAAAAAGGAAAAAGAAAAGTCACGCATAGTATATATAGGATTAGGTGCTATCCTCGGCTTCAGGGATCCTCTGAGGGTCTTGGAACAAAGCCCCCTCAAATAAGGCGGATCGACTGTACAGTGACAAAAGTATCACTAAACAGTCACCAGTAACCACAGCAAGCTGGTGAGACAGGGAGACCTAAATAAACCAGAAGGGCATCTGGAGGTTAGGTTTTATGCTAAGAAAATGAGTTACATTCAGACTGCAGAAATCTTGAGCAACAAGCTGAGTTTACAATGGTTTTTAAGCAGCAGTGGATTTTTATGAGCAAAAAGAACAATGAAACAGCAGGTCCAGGCTCTGTACCCTGTGATGCCACATATTAGCGGCCTAACAGTGGTTATGCCTAACTTGTTACCACAGCTGTATTGATCTCCCTGGCATAGCCCGAATGTAAAATTCTATGACTCTAATCATTTTAAGTAGCAAATTACATAGTTCCTGGCAATGTTCAATAAACATCTGCCAGGCTGATTTGTTGATTTATGGTCAGTAAGAAAATCAAAGTAAGAAAAATGAGTGACTGGCTACCCAGCATTATCTGCTATTATTGCTCCAAAGAGGAAGGCTTTAGAGATGTATATACTTACTCTTAATCGAGGACACTTGGATTTGGCCAGTACTCCCATGAATATACCAGGAGCATTAAATTCTTGGAGAAATAAAGCCACATCCTGAAAAGAAAAATGATTATGAACTTGGATGCTGAATATTCCTCCCTAAACCCCATGGCTTAGGCAACCATAAAAAAAATTTAATTCCACATATGCCTCCTTTCAGATAAAAGAAAAAAAAAAGCTCACAAGGTTAGAAATTGTGTCAACAGACAAAAGTAACAATAGTCTTTGTAGTATCTAGTCCCAAGACAATGGAACAATTCCATAAGCAAATCTAAACTAACTGTGATACTCCAGAGAACTAGCCTACTTTTTTCTGGCCTGCATCTATTTACTTTAATGATTTTTCTACCCACCAGGAATTCTCATGAACATATTCAAACACATTTGCTGATTAGGAACCATGTATTGTGCTAGCAGCTGGGGATAAGGGAAAAGAGTAAAACTGTTGATCCTGTTCTCCAAGAGTTTAAAACATGCACAGGGAAACAAGTGACAACTACTACCGGGTCTTGTCCAAAATCACTTATGTTTTCCAAATCCTCAACAGAAAAAAATTCTGATCACAATATAACTGTGGCAGCCTCATATCACCTTCCTAGAGAATTTGCCACAGTGCCTAGAAGAACACAACACATGGGTGAATGACCCTGGAGTGAATATGTGACCGTAAATGGACCAAATCCCGCCTAAGGATGTGAGACACAAAAACTAAACCAGTTAGCTGTGGGGACTGCCACTGCAAAATATGTAAATAAAATTAAGTTTCTGACTCCACTGCCTCTGATTTTCACAAAATTTGAGCTATATATTTGGCTTAACTTAAAACATAGGCTGTAGGGCTCATGTGAAATTCATATCAAGTTCCCATCTCAAAGATCTCAAAGAGAGGCAACTGTCCTCCAAAATGGATGAAACTAGGTAACCTTAGGTAACCCTCGTGACTGTTGACTGGGAGAGACACACTTTACTTATTAAAAGGCTGTGGTCAAAAAAAAAAAAAAAAAAAGACCATGGTCAGAGAAACCAAGAATTTTAAAGATACTCTCCAAAAGGAAAGTCACAAGAGTAGATGCTCTCCACTGTAAGAAATCAAGCTGTCTGTCATGTGGGCAATTGTTGGTAGTATGCAGGAATTTTCCAATTTAATGATAGTTAATAATTCCCTGAGTAGCACAAGCGTGGCCTAACAATAGCGACACCAACAAAGATAACAATGGCAATTACCATTCATTGAACAAGTATTAAATGCCAGGCACAGTGAATTATTTTGCATACTATCTCATTTAATTCTTAAAACAACTCTATGAAAGAATTATTATTATTAGCCCAAATAAACTAATAAGCAAACTGAGGTTTAAAATGTTAAACAACCTCTCTGAAATTATAGGCACAGTGAAAGGAAAAAGCTAGAACTTGAACCCAGATGAATCTAACTTGAGGCTATGTTCTTTTTTTTCTTTTTTTTTTAAGAGATGGGGTCTCACTACCTTGCCCAGGCACTATTCACAGGCACAAACAAGGCACACTACAGCCTGAACTCCTGGGCTCAAACAATCCTCCTGTCTCAGCCTCCCAAGTACATGGGACTACAGGTGAGTGCCACTGCACCAGTAGTTCTTAATCACCACAACATCCTAACCCTCAGGTATTTGTTCTTAATCACCACAACATCTTAACTCTCGGGCTATGTTCTTAATCACCACAACATCCTAACTCTCAGGTATTTGTTCATTCATTTATTATTCACCAAATACTCACTGGAAAACCTAATAGGTATTGTTTTAGGTTCTGGGGACACATTAGTGAACAAGCTAAATAAGGGCTCAGTCCCATGGAATTGTCATTCTAAAGGGATAGACAAACGATATACACATAAGCAACTAAACTACATAATTTTTAAGTACTACAAAGAAAATAAAGAAGACAGAATGTGCCAGAAACCAAGGTAAGGGGGCTCTAGTTTAGATACGTTATCAAAGAAGGTATCACTGAAGAGGTGACATTATGTTTTAATGAGAAGGAACTTAAATCTTTCAGGGACACAGATGCAAAACAATCAACGAATAACAAGAAAAGTTATGCAACAGAGTGAACAGATTCCGTGAGAGCACAGGAGAAAGAGTAATTCACCTGGAGTGTCTGGGGTTGCATCACAGAGGATGTGATCACACATTTAAGCTGAGCCATAAATGATGAGAAAGATTTTGCCAACTGGAGACATGAACAGTGCTAGGATGTCTGAAAGTGCAGTAAGTATCTGGAGGTCTCTGGTCCTCACACACTGAATTCGTGGTTACAGAACGAAAGGAGACAAGGCTGACACACAATCTCACTGGAGAGACCTCAACGAGCAGTGGGGAGCTCAGTTCTGTAGAGGGACCTCAAGAGCTACTCCGAGGAGGCAGAAAGGGAGGCCAAAGAACGCGACCAATCTCATTTGAACAGCAACACTGTTTTTTCTATTTTAAATGTAAGGTTTTCACAAAGATGTCATGTAAAAAACAGGTTCTATCTCTTGGAAAACATTTTAACCGTCATTTCTCAATACTGTAGAATAGAAAGATTTAAACAATTCTCTCAACCAACTTGATCTGACATTTGTAAGATACTCTACCCAGCAACAGCAGAATACACATTCTTTTTAAGTGAACATGGAACATTTACTAAGACAGAAGGCCATATTCTGGACCATAAAACAAGTCTCAACACATTTATAAAAGGATTCAATGTTCACTGACCATAACAAAAAGATACCCCCCAAAAGTCCCAAATATTTGAAATCTAAATAACCTATGAACCAAAGAAAAAGGAAAGTTAGAAAGTATTCTGAACTGGCCAGGCACGGTGGTTCATGTCTATAATCCCAGCACTTTGGGAGGCCGAGGTGAGAGGATTGCCTAAGCCCACAGCTTCAAGACCAGCCTGGGCTATCTGGTGAAATTTCATCTCTACAATAAATTTTTAAAATTAGCTGGGTGTGGTGGCACATGCCTGTAGTTCCAGCTACTTGGAAGGCTGAGGCAGAAGGAACACCTGAGCCCAGCAGATTGAGGCTGCGGTGGCCATGGGCATGCCACTGCATCCAGCCTGGGCGACAGAGTGAGACTTCAAATTAAAAAAATATTCTGTTAGCCGGGCGTGGTAGTTCCAGCTACTTGGAAGGCTGAGGCAGAAGGATCGCCGGAGCCCAGCAGGTCGAGGCTGCAGTGCCCGGGAACGACCACGGCACTCCAGTCTGGGTGACAGAGTGAGATTCCAACTTAAAAATATATATATATTCTGAACTTAATGAAACAAAAACACAACATATCAGAATTTACAAGATGCTGGTAAACATTTAGAAAACATTTATAGTGCTAAATGCCTATGTTAAAAAAGAACAATTTCAAATCAGTGACCTCAGCTTCCACCTCAAGCAAATAGAAAAAGAAGAGGAAATTAAACCAAAGTAACCAGAGGGAAGGAAATAATAAAGAACAAAGTGGATATCAATGAAATAGAAAGGAGTAAAGTAATAGGAAACAAACAAAAAAAATCAATGATACCAAAAGCTGATTCTTTGCAAACATCAGTAAAATTATTAAATTTCTAGTCACACTAATCCAATTCCAATTCTGTGCATTGTTTTATATGTCCCCTATTTGCAACTGTTCTAGATGGACATCAGTTTAATAATTCAGGTACTGAATTTTTTTGCTTGCTAATTGTGCCTTTCTTATGCTAAATTTTAAAATGCCATATATACTGTGATACAGAAATAATAACTTCATCTTAAGTTACAGATAACCAGACAAACATTTTTAAAAATGTATATCAAGCTAACAGGCATAGAAGTAAACTACCCTTAACTTATTAGCCTTTATTTAGAAAGAAATGTGGAATCAGTTAAATTTCTCACTAATTTATTAGAAAGCTAAATGAATAACGATTTCTCTACTTTGTAGGTATTTTTCAGTGCATTGCTAAGTTATAGGAACAAGACACTTTTTGTACATTTTTTGTACTTGAGTGTTTATACTGCAGGTAGGTATGGAAATGTAACTGAAGTTTATACAGGGGACAATGCATACACTTCATATGTAAACAAAGCATTTTTCTAAATTATTTGGAAAGGATTGCATTTAGCATGGCTAATTTTTAATACCCACTTATTAGTTGCTTAAGGTAAATTATAAAATCTAAAATTAGTATCAGTGCTTTAGATCCTATTATTTTTTTCAACTTCTTATTTTTTCACAGTGGAAAATTTGGATTTAATATTAAACTCTTATTTTTTTCTGTGTGTACCCTTATTTTTATAGAGTCAAAATCTTACTATGTTGTCTGTCCAGGCTTGAAGCGAGTAAATTCTTTTTTTTTTTTTTTTTTTTTTTTTTTTGAGTAATGGTCTCATTCTGTTGCCCAGGCTGGAGTGCAATAGCATGATCACAGATCACTGTAGCCTCAACCTCCTGGGTTCAGGTGATCCTTCTATCTAGTCTTCCCAATAGCTGGGGCAGGCACCACCAAGCCCAGCTAATTTTTTTATTTTTTGTAGCAGCAAGGTCTCACTATGTTGATCAGGCTGGTCTCCAACTCCTAGGCTCAAGCAATCCTCTCACTTTGGCCTCCCAGAGTGTTGGGGTTACAGGTGTGAGCCAGCCTGGCCCAAACTGGTAATTTTAACCCTTTGCATTAGGATGCTCCTTCCGAAGGGACATTTGTAAATCTAGCAAACCACTCAGGAGACATAAAGAGATTGCTGGTGATTATACAGGGCAAACTTATACAAGCTCAAATTTTTCAAAAATATAAGTTTCCTTGAAGCTTTCCATTCAAATTGCATGAAATAGCAAATAAAGAAATGAAATATTGCTGGGCACAGTGGCTCACACCTATAATTCCAGCATTTTGAGAGGCAAAGGAGAAAGGACTGCCTGAGCCGAGGGATTCAAGACCAGTCTGGATAACTTGGAGAGAACTCGTCCCTACAGTAAATTGAAAAATTAGCCAGGTGTGATGGACTGGTGTCTGTGATTCCAACTACTTGGAAGGCTACAGCAGATGGATCATCTGAACTCAGCATGTCGAAGAGGTGGTGGCCATGAGCAAGCCACTACACTCTAGCCAGGGCAACAGAGTGAGACTCTGACTCAAAAAAAAAAAGAAAAAGAGATAGAATATATACTGAGACATGATCGGTCAGTTGAAAAGTGGCTTTCAGGAATCACGAATGAGTCCTTCCACAGAGTCTTCAACAACAGACTGGACAATAAATTGCATATTATTAATGTGGGAGGAAGAAAACAAGACTGCATTGTCTGCTCAAATAGAAAAACACCAGGTAGAAGATGTCAAACAAATTACTATTGCGCAACATGTATCAATGAACCTGTAATGCATGCCCGCAACTATTTCACACATTACTACGTTAGAAAAATGTAAGAAGCCGGGTTCGGTGGCTCAGCCTGTAATCCCACGCCTTGGGAGGCTGAGGTGAGTGGATTGCCTGAGCCCGCAGGTTTGAGACCCGCCTGGGCAACTTGGTGAGACCTCATCTCTACAATAAATCAAAAAAATTAGCCAGGCGTGGCAGCGCGTGCCTGTAGTTCCAGTTACTTGGAAGGCTGAGGCGGAAGGATCGCCGGAGCCCAGCAGGTCGAGGCTGTGGTGCCAGTCTGGGCGACAGAGTGAAACTCTAACTCAAAAAAAAAAAAAAAGAAAAGAAAAACATAAGATATACAATTTTGATTTTTTTAGTCATAAATAAGTTCCTCAATGTCCAAAATTCCATTATAAGCCAAATATTACAATAAAATAATTGGTTCCAGTACCATACTCTTCAATATGAAGTGATTCATTTTTCACTATTTCATGAAAAAAAAAAACGCGGTCAAGATGCTGGTAGGTGACCTGCAAGATGTCTCCAAGTGTAAAGGTTAATTAAAGCAACTAAATTTATCTTTTATCTATTAATTAAAAGGAAATCAAGGCACTCAGGAATATATTGGGACACATGAAAATGTGAAAGGTGCTTTTCTTTCAAAATGTATGTTTAATTAATTGAATCTTAGCAACTGTTTTCATAATTTGGGTCAATGCTATCCTATTAATTTTTATATCTAGCTTAAAAGGAACTTGAAAATGTTCCATTTATCATGTTTCATTATTTTCTGTCCTATGAAATCCTATGCTAAATGTATTTTAAAGTAAAAGCCAAATTCAAGATCGGGGAAAATAAAAAAGATAATAGTTTAGCATTTATACCTCCTGGGATTGCATTCTCTGTGGTATAAGAGTGATCACAAACACTAAATAAAGCCTTTCCCCAGAGAATATGAGATTGAATCTTTTTTAAAAATCCATTCACCACCTCCTCACCAACAGTCCATTCAGAGTTTTATTTCCCTTCTCATACCTCATCCATTGACATATCCCATACTCTGCAAATTTCATTCTCCATTTCTTCATCGAGCTCCAACTGCTGTTCCTCATCTTCTGGGCTGGATTTGGGGTTTTCAGAGCTAACAATCTTCAGAAACACAAAGGAAGAAAAGAGATGACTACAGTACTCCCCAAGTACAGCAGGTCCTTGAATTACAATGTTTTGTTATAGCGAGAAAAAAAAATGAATTCCCAGCCAGGCCCCTGGTTTGTGTGGAGTGTTAATGTTCTCCCCATGTTTGCAAGGGTCTGCCCTGAGTACTCAGGTTTCCTATCATATCCCCAAAATCTGCACATTAGGTTAACTAACTGGTGTGTCTAAATGGTCCTAGTCGCGCGCGCGCGCGTGTGTGTGTGTGTGTGTGTGTGTGTGTGTGTGTGTGTGTGTGTGTCATGCGCGCGCGCAGCGCCTAAAATAGAATGAGGTCCTGTCCAGGGTTGATGTCCACCTTGTGCCCAGAGCTGCTGAGACAGGCTCCAGCCACCCTTAACCCTGAACTGAATAAGTGGGTTGGAAAATGAATGAATCACTACAATTACTGCAAAATAAAAATTTCTAAAATAGGCAACAATCATATAGATGCAACAATAAATGATGTGGTAAAAAGCGCTCAACGAGCCGGTCCCATTTGTCAGTGTTTGTTTCTGAACTGTGTGGCAGTAAGGAGGGGTGCTTCTTACAATTTTCACCTTGTAAACATTTATTCCGTGATTTAACCCACCACCACTATGACAGCTGTCACTCACTGATTCTCCAAAATTGGGTAAATAATTATCTTACTTGTTTTTATTCATTTTTCTTAAATGTCTATGTTTTAATAGCTCGCATTTATTCCAATGTTTAATATTAGAAGTACTTTGCGTCTTCACTCAGAAGTTTGGTGATGTTTTTGTCACAGGAAGATTCATCAGAAATATGTCACAGGAACTTAACCCTTATTTATATCAATTTGTATATGATAAAATTGGTTTGTGAACAGTTGTTTTGCTTAAAGTCACAGTTTCCAGGAACCTACTGACATTAAGTGAGGATTTTCTAATATTACACTATAAACATTTATAAGTCATAAAGAGACTATCCTCAAAGTATCTTCTCTTGCAAAAATCTTGTTTTATAACCTTAGCACCTTAGGTAGATTTATTCATCTAATATTCATGAAGTAAATTCGGCTACTAGGCACTTGGATAGATAAACAAAGATGAATAAGATGTAATCCCTTGCCTTTAAGCAGTTTAGGATCGAGCGTGGAAAGACACGTAAACTGAAAATCACAAAAGAAAAGCCTAAGTGAATTGTAGACAAAGAGTTGTGGCAGCAAAAATGATCTATTTCTGGGAGAAGTTGGAGAACACTTCTCTTAGGAGATGTTTAAGCTCAATTTTGGAGGAAGAAGAGCATTTTGTCATGTAAAGAAGGGCAAAAGAGCATTCAGAGGAAACCACAAGAATTCAGAGTTACGAAAGAGTCTAGACATCTGGGAAACTGGAAACAGTTTAGTGTTGATGGAACACTGTATATCGTGGGCAGATAAGGCTGGAAATTTTTACAAAGAGCCCAGGACTCCAAGTTAAGAAATATGCATTTTTCACCTAGGCAACAGGAACTAAGAGAAGCACCATGAACAGCTCTGTCTTTTAATGATTCTTCTGGCAGCTGTGCAGAAGATGAACTGAGAGGATACAGCTAGAAGCAGGGAAACCAGTGAGGGAAATGTGGGAAGAAGAAAACTCATATTTACTGAGAGTGTCCTAAAAGCCAAACACCATTCTAAGCACTCTGTGGGCCATTATAATCTCACTTAGCCTATACAATAACCCTCTATGCAATCATATAAATATCATAATCCCATTTTATAAAAACTGAGAGAAATAGAGGCTCTGAGTGATTAGGTGAATTGCCTGAAGACACGCAGCAAATAGGCGATGAAGCCGCGTTCTTTTTCTTTTTTCTTTCTTTCTTTTTTTTTTTTTTTGAGTCGGGGGTCTCATTGTCCCCCAGGCTGGAGTGCAGTGACACGATCATGGCTCACACAGCCTTGACCTCCTGGGCTCAGACGATCCTCCTGCCTCAGCCTCCCAAGCAGCTGAGACTAAAGGTGTGCACCGCCACGCCCAGCTTTTTTTTTTTTTTTTTTTTAATTCTGTGTAGAGCCGAGGTCTCGCTACGCTGCCTAGGCTGATCTCGAACTCCTGGACTCAAGCAATCCTCCCGCCTCAGCCCCCCAAAGTGCTGGGGTAACAGGCGTGAGCCAGCGCGCCCGGCCTCGCATTCTTGATATAAGCCCCAAAGTCACCATGTGTTCTACAACAACAAAAGTCCATGAAATACACAAATTAGGACCTGGGTTTCAGAAACGACAGCGGGGATGGGGAGCAGAACCCGAGCAAAGAAGTTGCACGATCATGTATTTCTGGAGAACTTACAAAAGCAAAAGCTATAACGGAAAACACTCCAGCATCCCTTCGGTTGCCCTTCCTTTTGTGTCGAGAGATCCCGAGGGGTCCCGGGCAGTTCTGGGGTCCGCCGCGGCAGACAGAACTCGGGGCGGGAGCCCCGGCGGGGACGGCGGCTCCGGAGCCGGAGGGGCAGCCCGAGGCGGGGCCGGGGCGTGACGGGGCCCACACGCGACGCACGTCTCCTCACCTGGATGAGCCCGCTGAGGACGCCGAAGAGCCAGTGCTTACTGTACATCGTGCTCCCTATGCAATCTTCCGCTGCCGCCTCCTCCTCCTCCTCCTTTTCCCCGCCCGGCAGCGGCGGCGAAGGGTTGCGGTCCATGACGCTCCAGACGCCAGAGCCCGGGAGCCGGGCCGGAAGCTGCGGAGGAGTCGACGGCATCCTCACGCCAGAGGGCCCCGTGAGGCTCCCGTTGCAGCGCCCCCTGCTGTCCTGGATCCGCCCAGTCCAAGAGCCAGGCCACGTGGCTTGATCCCCACCACCCCGTCCCACTCAGGACCCAGGTATGATCATAGGCATCATTATCTATCCCCTGCAGTGAACCAGATATTCCATTTCTCCAGGATCTCTTAGCCTTATTGGAGAAGGAAGGGGTTAGGGGGAGTAGGAGAGCGGGGATCCCCGGAAGCAGGGAAAAGGTCAGTGTCTCTAGGACACATGTGAACCTCAAAACTGGCAGACTACTTATTCCATTTGACTTCTGGCCCTAGAATCCGCTGATCTCTGGCCACCGTTGCCATTCCTTTTTTTTTTTTTTTTTTTTGAGTTGGAGTCTCACTCTGTCGCCCAGACTGGAGTGCAGTGGCCGCTCCCGGCCACCGCAGCCTCGACCTGCTGGGCTCCGGTGATCCTTCCGCCTCAGCCTCCCAAGTAGCCGGAATTACAGGCACGCGCTACCACGCCCGGCTGATTTTTTGATTTATTGTAGAGATGAGGTCTCGCTGTCCAGGCGAGTCTCGAACCCGCGGGCTCAGGCAATCCACTCACCTCAGCCTCCCAAAGGCGCAGGATTACAGGCTGAGCCACCGAGCCCGGCTCACCGTTGCCATTCTTAAAAACATCTGTAGGTATTCAGTGTTCTCCCAGGTGGGGTTAGAATCCTAGAAAGACAAAAGTCACCAGTATGAGTGCCAAAATCCAACTCCCTGTATCGTCAATTCCTGTTTCTAACTAATTTAGTGGTACTCAACATCAGACCCTATGTTCCCCACTCAACAAATATTTTACAACCGCCACTTTGACTTAATTAAATGAAATTTACAGATGATATAACCTACTTCCACATGAAATTGCAAAAATATCAGTATAATGCCCTAACAGGAATGGAAACAAAATTATTTAAAATAAAATGATATGCATGTTCACATTTTAAATATTCAGTCACAACTATACTAGAAGACATAATGAAGATGTTCGATGTTTGCCTAGAATCACAGTTAGACAAAGTCAAATACAATACAGATATGAATCTCTAAATTTAAAATATTTTTATTTGGGAAGAATTGCAATTCAGGGTGTACACACAGATGGTTTGTCTTTGGTATATCTGAAGAACAAGAAGGTTGGGGGTTTTGTAAGAAAGAGAAAAGTTACAAGTTGTTTTGAAAGAAAGTTCATTGGTATTAGCAACATTTTGGGGAGCTGGTAAAATTGTCTTAGAGTTGCAGTAGGTTGTTTCAGCGGCTGTTAGGTAAAACTGGTTTCCATTTAAAACAGGCAGTTTCCTCAGCCAGGCTTGTAGAGAATTACCCTTTTGGAGCAATGTAATGTGCCCAAGTGCTTTCCCACCGCTCCAGCCTCTCAACTCTATTTTAGTTGAATATGACAAGCATGATCCAATTTTTGTGATCAACTGTCATACCTAGAATCACTGTGAACCTAGCAGTTTCAAATGCAGGCTGTTACAGGTGTAGCATCATTATGGATGTGGCTTTTCAAAATCACAAACAGATAGTGATAGTTTCTACTAAAACAAAGTTCCAACTGGCACAGTAATTGCCTTTCTGGAAATTTTAAATTCTACTAAAACTAGGCAAAAAAATAACCTGTGTTAAAATATAAAATGCAGTTAGGTCCTAGGCTCAGATAATTATAGGCAGAGGCAGACCCAGGTTTTGTGGGGACTGAACTATGATGTCTAGGGAGCCCTCTTTAATAAAAACAGTACAAAATTACAAATATTATGTTAGTTACAAAGGAAAATATTTGGAATGGGAAAAAAGAAATCACAACAAATTACAAATTTTAAATAGCTGGCAAATACCACAAACATCACAAAAACCAATTTAATATTAAAATGTATTTATTAATAAACATCCTGACAGACCATACAATCCTTTTAAAATATAATTTTTGCTGCATTTTATTTGATTATGTCTCTATATGGCAATAACTTTAGAAGATCATTTCTAAAGAGAAAAATAAAAAGATAATTCTGTCTTTAGCATGGTTGGGTTTATTATTATTATTACTGGTAAGTTAGAAAAGTTTTCTTCAGTTTCACAACTTATTGTTGATAATATTGTAAATTTTTGCTTTTTGTCAAATTTGGAAAACCTCTTTTGGGAGGAAGACTCCATTTTGACAAGGATTCAGTGAGAATCAAATCTTCTGCTTATGATTTGATAGTTCTCCATAGACTCAAGTCTGACTTTGTATGTTTCAAATTTGTTTTTCCTCAGCTACCCACATACCTCTCAGTCAAGCTGAGATCTTGTCACTGCACTCTAGCCTGGGCAACAGAGTGAGACCCCAACTCCAAAAAAAAGAAAAAACCCACCAAGTTTATGTGATACCACATGAAAATAAGATTGAGATTAAATGTCAGAGGGCATAACTAACACCCCCAAAGCCATACTACAGGGAACCACCATGGCACAATGCCTCTCTCACGGAGCTGTGCTGAGAACTAAGATAGCTAACACACAAGGTCTCAGAAAACGTGGCTGTTAGGGTTATGTCAGGTGTGTCCACTCTCCTCTGACCCCACTTGGAACACATGCTGAATACCTTCATAGACTGGCCCCTCATCATCCAACTTCAGCCATTACTGCTCTCTGGCTCAGGGTCTGCTTGTTTCCCAGCTCAGACACCAGACAGCAAGTATTTAGCCCACCTTAGAGGGCTATTGTGAGGATTAAATAAGACCATACATGTGAAGTGTTGCTAGGGCATGAGGATGAATTATGTGCTGACAGTTCTCTCTGGTGGCAGTAAAAACAAAGGGATCAAGGTGATAGTCTTAGCAGGATATGCAAAAGCACAGACTAAAATTGCCCCCAAGCTTTGTGGATAACAAATATCATACATAGGGTCTCAGTAACCCATAACACAAGAGTATCATAACAAGGAATTCAGAACCTTCTGAGGGAGACATGGAGTTGTGCTGCCCAGGTCCCCTTTGAGGAGGCCCTTACTGCTTAGCTGTAGAGAGTGTGGGCAGTAGACTGCTCCCAGCTGTCAACTCCTTCAGGGTTGGCCTCAGCTGCAGAGAGGTCCTGTCCTTCCCAGGGCAGCCCTCACATGGCAACCGAGCAAAGGGGTCGAAGGAGATGGGGAATGTGGAATGTAGTCACTTCAGCCTAATGTGGAACACCAAGACTCCCTGCCTCGAGGCCTTGTCAAACCTGCCTGCCACTTCTCTCTCTCCAGTCTTCTTCCTCCACTTTTCTTTTCCTCCCTAAGAAACGTCATATGCCCCCGACTCTATGCAGCAATTACTTCTAGAGAACCCAATTAGGGCAGTTGACAATTTCAATCCTACTCCAGGGGTTACCACTGAAGTATTGGAATCATCAAAGTAGCTGTGGTTCATTTTCTTTTTTTCTTTTTTAAGACAGGGCCTCACTCTGTCACCCATCCGGAGCATAGTGGCACAATCATAGCTCACTGCAGCCTCAACCTCCTGGGCTCAAGTGATCCTCCCACCTCAGCCTCCCTAGTAGGTAGGACTTCAGGCGTGAACCACCACACCTGGCTAATTTTTCATTTTTCATAGACATGGGTTCTCACTATGTTGCACAGGCTGGCCTCAAACTCCTATCCTCAAGCAATCCTTCTACCTTGGCCTCCCAAAGTGCTGAGATTATAAGCACGAGCCATCACACCCAGCACTGTGGTTCATTTTTAAGAAAACTTAATTGAACTAGAGATTATAACTAGATCACCCAGAAGACACTGGATTTCTAGACATGTGCAGAAAAATAATCCAGAATTAAAATTTTGGCCTTTGTAGTTAATAGCTGACCAGTGTTGTTTGTTTGTTTGTTTGTTTGTTTGTTTGTTTTCACCTGGCCCTGACCAATGTTTGTTTGGGTCTACCTGGCTTTGTGAAAAGACAACCATTTTCTTGAAACTTCTGAAATCAAAACTGAGCACTATTCTACGTGGTAAGCCATGGGATAAGATTGAGATGTGCCCTAAATGAATATGCCTCATGTACAGAAGACAAAAACCAAGATGGTCTTGGTAAAATAATTGGGGGGGGGGGGAAACAAACACTGAGTACCTATTCTGTGCTAGGCAATGTTCTAGACACTAGGGTTATAGCAGTGAGGAAAAGAGAAAAATTCCAGCCTATGTGACACTGATATTCTGATAGAGGAAGACAGTCAAACAAATAAGTAAAATATATGATATGAGTGGTAGGTTAGTAGCTAATAGCCCCAAATGAATAATGTCTCCTGACCCCTCTGGGTAGGTTTTTTCCTCACTGGCTTTAGCTTGGCCACGTGACTTCTTCTGGAACATCAGCAAATGTGATACAAGCAGATGCTTGATAAGTGCCTGTGTGTACTGGGACTCACCCTCTTGGGGTACTACCACTTGAGAGAAAGCCTAGTCTTATCTCCTCCATGATGAAAGACCACGTGGAGATTAAGACTCAGCAATCTCAGCTGTCCCAGATGGGTTTGGCCCCAGTGCAACTGAAAGCAACTGCATAAATGAATCCAGGTGAAACCAGCAAAACAACCTCCCAGGCAGCCTATAGAATGATGAAAAATAACAAATTATTGTTGTCATTAGCCCCGAGGTTTAGGCATGGCTTGCTACTTCATCAATAACTAACATGATACATAAGGTAATAGGTGCTACAGGGAAAGATAAAGCAAGGAAGATGAGAATGTTACTGGTCAGGACCAGACCAATTCTGCCCATGTGAAGTAAATCAATCACAGTGGCAGGGTTTTGCAAAAGAGAAAAGATTTATTCAAGGGCACTGAGGGAGAAGGCAAGAGAACAGCTCTCAAATCTGCCTCTCCGAAGTTAAGGCTTACAGATATTCATGGGCTGGGGAAGTGGGGTGGCCTAAGGCCTGGGGGAAGGTGATTGACAATGGAGAAAAATGAAGTAACGGGTTCATTCTGCACAAGTAATAGTCAGGTTTCAAGGCATGTCATAAGACCCACAAGACTTGACAGTGAAGTTCGCAAGCTGATCCTAGAAAAAGTGCCACATACTTCATACTTGAATATCATTACGGTCACCTTTGAAGTACTCCCTTGGAAAACTATGTACTGATGCCAGCACCTAGTCCACCTGTCAAAGCAATTTTGGAACTCTTTTTCTGGAATGGCATCAGAGCTGTCATTGCAACAATGTCAGAGTTTGAATTAGAGCAAAGAACAAACATTAAATTTCTTGTTAAACTTGGCAAGATTGTAGTGAAATCAGGGACGTGTTAGTCTAAGTTCATGTGGATAATGCCATGACGAAAACAGCAGTATACAAATGTATTAAACTTTTTTTCCTGAGGGGAGAGAAAGCATTACTGATGAAGAGAGTTCAGGACAACCAGTAAAGAGCAGAACTGAAGAAAGCATTGCAAAAATTCATTGAATTGTATGTCAAAATCATCAGTTGATTGTGAGAAGCATAGCAGACCAAATAAATATCAATAGATAAACAGGAAAATCTTAACTGAAAATCTTGGCATGAGAAACTTGTGTTGAAAAATTGTCCCAAAGGAGCTCATGCATCACAACAATGTACCAACTCACACAGCACTATCTGTGTGGAAGTTTTTAGCCAGTCCACAAATAACTATATTGGAACACCCTCCCTACTCACCTGCTCTGATCCCCAATGACTTTTTTTTTTTACCTGAAGATAAAGGAAATATTGAAAGGAAGACATTTTGATGACATTCAGGACATCAAGGGTAATATGACGACAGCTCTGATGGCCATTCCAGAAAAAGAATTCCAAAATTGCTTTGACGGGTAGACTAGGTGCTGGGATCAGTGCATAGCTTCCCAAGGGGAGCACTTCAAAGGTGACCATAGTGATATTCTTTATGGCTGCATAATATTCCACTGTACCATTTTGTTTTTATCCAATCCAGCTTTGATGGGCAGCATGGTTGGTTCGATGTTTTTGCTATTGTGAATAAGGCTGCAACAAACATACATGTGCAGGTATCTTTTTTGTAGAATGATTTGAGTTCCTCTGGGTATATTCCTAATAGGGGGATTGCTGGGTCATGTGGAAGGTCAATTTCTAGTTGGAAAGGAAAATTTTTACTTGACTGGTGCTTTCGTGAGACGGCTTTGTTTTCTGGGCCCGGCAAATGTTTAAAGCTAATTTTTTGTGTCTGTTGTGAATTCTTCGTAGATACTCCCCTCCATCACTGGAGGCATGCTCCACAGTTCCCTTGACATAGTGATGCAACCTCCTCCATCTTGCCACTTGCTTCTTCCTCAGCTCTTTATTGTTACACTCCTGCCCCATATAGATTGGGCATGAGATTTGTTATGAGGAACAACTGGGTGGTACATAGAATACATTCATGGAAGAGATGATTAAGTGAACTAATATATGTAAAACCTCAATGCAACTGCTCGTTATAGTACATGGTTAATGTTGACTCTAGTATCAAACTAGCAAAAAGACTTGGATATGTTATTTAAACTGTTTGTGCCTCAAGTTTCCTCAGTTCTAAAATAAGATAAATTAAGGCATGAAGTTCCAAAGGATAACACGAGAAAGCACTCGGGTCCAAAGGATAACACAAGAAAGTATTCAGAGAAGTGCCTGGCCTATAGCCACCAAATCATGAATGGTAGATGTCTTTATCACTGTCTTATTATCACTGACATATTAATCACTGACTCTGACAAGGATGGATACAGATTCTCAAGAAAGCATGAACAGAGTGCTTTGTGGACACTCACTGTTATCCTAGGATAAGAATTGAGGAACTGACAGATCTGATGCCCTGAGAAGGTAACATTCTACCCTGGCTCAAACCAAGGAGTAGCTAAAAAAATAAGAGAAAGGTATTTCTTAGTGTTGTGGACAGGGACTGGTTAACACCTGGTTTAGGAAGGAGAGGATCAAAAAGGGAAGGGACTCTTAGGAGTAGGCCTCCATGACAGGGAGAGAGATTACTGAGGAACCCAGATTCCCAGGAACCCAGGAAGCAGAAAAAGGGAAACAACACAATTGACTAGAGAGAGAAGGTTTGGACACAGAGGGACCTAGAAACGTTGTGCTGTAACCAGAGATACCTAGGCCAGACCTAGGGAAGAGGGTCTAATTTGGAAAAGAAACCATTTGGGACACCCCCCCCCCCCCCGAGATTCCAGGATCTTCTGGAATTATGTAAGAAACATAACCTTCAGGCCATACTTTGAACCTGAATATGGTCGTTGCTGGGGTCAATCCTGGTAAAACTTCTTTGCATTTACTTTTGATTTGTGTGTGTGTGTGCGCGTGCGCGCGCGCGTGCGTGTGTGTGTGTGTGTGTGTGTGTGTGTGTGTGTGTGTGTGTGTCTCAAAGTTTTCCTACCCTTGTGGGAAGGGTTGGGGAGTATTTGATCCTCTATTCTTGAATTGCTTGTATAAAATTGGAATTATTTGCTATTTGAAAGGGCTTAGTTTGTCTATAGAACCATCTGGGCCTGTTGTTTTCTTTGCGAGAAGATTAAATCTTTTAAAATAATTATAAGATAATCCAGATTTTCATTTCTTCTTTATTCAGCTTTTATAAGTTGCATTTTTCTAAGATTTATTGATTTTTTAAATCTGGCTTTAAACTTCCTCGCTGAATTTGCTCGTACGATTCTCTTGCTACCGTTTATATTTTATGGAACGTGTAATTATAGACTTATGTTGGTTCACGTTATGGTCTATAAAGTATGGTCAATGACATATAGGTTTATCCTCAGCTCCTATATTGTTGATTTGTGCTTTATCCTTTTTTAAAATAAAAACAATGTTGCTTATTGATCATCCCATGGTACTAAATAGGCCCATGTTCCCAGGAAGACTGTTATAGTCCATTTCCAGATTTCAATAACAAATTGGATTTCACAAGTATTTATTAAGCCTTTAAATTTTTTTCTATTCACTTTTTTTGTTTATATTAAAGATTTTTATGTATTCCATATCAAATACTAGGGATATAGAAATCTAGCTCAACAAATTTCTCTGCCCTCAGGGTCTCTGCCCTCGGAGTTTCACAGCCTGGTCCCCTGAGAGCAGAGTGAAGAGGAAACTCAGTACTTCTCAGGCAGGCCAGCAGGTCTGAAGTGGTTGGGGTCTTTGCCACTCCGGCCCCATTCGTTGGCAACCTGGTCGGCAGCTGAGTCTTCTGCTCCGTGGCCTGTGAAGCTCTGGAAACCCTCTCTGGCATCGCTGTAGTTGAGGCAGAGGAGAGGAGATTAATCACCAGGCGAGATAAGCAACAGTCCACCCACCCATCCTCCTCTTTCCAAGAGAAGGCTCTGATAGGCCAAGGAAGGAAGGTCTAAATACTGACCCTACCTGGGTACAGCCCTCCTAGCACCCTTCATCTGGGTAAACAACGCCCATAGAGGAAGGGCTGGGAATCATTCATTCTTACCAGTCATCCAAACCCTCACACCTAGCCCAGAGACAGAGAGAGGGCAAGAGGAGGAGGGGCCACAGACTCCAACTTCTCTACAAGGAAGCTCGCCTCCTCCTGAACATTCAAGGCAGTCAAACTTTGCTCTCCCATCTCTGGCATCCCCAGAAGCTACAGCTACCTGATCACTTTTGCAGCCCAGGCACCCCCAGGCCCCCTTTGGGCAGCGTCATAGTTCCCTCAAGCATGGAAGTATTTGTCTGAATTTTTGTAATTGGCTTCTCTCATGTCAGAGTAAGCTCTCCACATGTCTTTAGTTCCTGAAAAGGAAAGAAAATGATCAAAACAAGCAGACCTTGGAAAAACAGAGAAATAAAAAATGACCCACTGATTCCAAATATTTCAGCCTTTGACAGAGCCCTTGGAAATTCTGTTGGCTTGAAATATATTCCTTTACTTTTTCACTTCCCTAGGTTAATGGAATAAGAATCACAGGTGCAAGCTTTTTCTGTTTGATTCCATTCTAAGTTCTGATGCTATCTTTTTTTTTTTTTAACTACAAAAAAACATGTTTGATGCATGGACAGAAGCATTGGGATGGTCTTTAAGTGAAGATTCATTGTACAATGAACCTCTACCTGGAAAGATCCAGTGAACCTTCTGACCAAGGCATAAGAACACAGGTAACTCTGAGCAAGGTTGCAGACATACGGCCTTCCTAACCTGGTCAATGGGAGAAATTTCATACCTGTGGACAGAGTGAGGACTACTCGATCCTGAGTACATCTGAATCTCCAGGGTATATTTAGAACCTGAGCATCTGTCAGAATTCAATCAGCAAGTGATAAAGGCGAATTCTCTAACAGAATGTTGAATAAAGTGGGTAATAAGATACAGAGAAACAACTGGCCCCTAATTCAAAACCTCAGTGTCCTCCCCAATAAAATGGTGGAATGTTGTCTGCCTCTGAGTGGTTATGCAGAAGAACTGAGAAAGTACATATATGATGCCTAGAACATTGTAGGTACTCAGTATATTATCCCTTCACTTCTCTGTCCTTAGGAGGATGGGATAAGAAAAAAGAAGGACTAATCAAAGAAATGCTAATTAAAACCACACTGAGATACCACCTAGCTCCAGTCAGGATGGCCATACAAAAAACAACAGATGCTGGAGAGAACGCGGCAAAAAGGGAACACTTCTGCACTGTTGGTGGGAGTCTAAACTAGTACAACCTGTGTGGAAAACAGTGTGGCGATTCCTAAAAGATCTAAAAATCAACCTCCCATTTGACCCCACAATCCCCCTACTGGGAATATTCCCAGAGGAACTCAAATCACTCTATGATAAAGATACCTACACACACACGTTTATTGCAGCATTATTTACAATAGCAAAAACGGAACCAATCATGCTGCCCATCGAAAGAGGATTGGATTAAAAAAATGTGGTACATATACACAATGGAATATTACATAGCCATGAGGAAGGACAAAATTATGAATTTTGCAGTAACTTGGATGGATTTAGAGGCTATAATACTGAGTGATCTATCACAGACACAAAGAACTGAGTATCACATGATCTCACTCATAAGCGGACCTTGAACAAAAATCATAATACTATAAGGAAGGGATTGGCAATAGTGGGAAACTGCCAGAGAAGGAGGGAAGGCATACCTCATCAACAAGGGTAACTGCATAATGAACATTTATTCCTAACCCTGAATTGTACCCCACATACTTAAAATAAAAAACTAAAAAAAAAAGATAAAAGAAGAACTATATGGTAAGGAACAAGGAATTATAGACCGAAGGAATCTGATTAAGCTAGAGTGAATAAAAAACATTTTTTAAAAAAATTAACTGATTAGGAAAAAGGAGAAAATCAAGTGTAAAGTTACAATCATGATTTATATAATTTCCCTATGAGACGACCCATCTTCATTTCATATATTTATTATTTCTGGTGTTCAGGTTGATCACTTTTATTAAGAGCTTATGACATTTTAACTCTACTTACTAACTCTGAATTACGGATTTAAGTGGCTCCCCTGGAATCCAGACTTGCTTAATAAGTATTTCAAAAATGGCTGGCACATTTGATCACTTGTGGGTAGAAAACCAGAGACAGTGGTTCTCAACCTTCCCTGTGCATGAATATCAGCCAGGATTCTTGGCAGAGGCAAGATTTCCAGGCTCCAGCCCCAGATATTATAATAGGGGAGGGGTGTGGACAAGGAATCTTCACTTCACAAAGCACCTAAGACCCCAGGTAATTCTCATGCAAGTGGCCCTAAAACAACCCTTTGAAAATTATTGACCTAAGGAATGAAATATATTTTCAGCCTGGTGTATCAGAATTTAGATAGTATTAATAGCAAATTTTAAAACAGTTATTCAGAGACTATCACAGAAAAATAATAACACCTGAAATTTAAAATACTGCATTCTGAAAATAAAATTTTGCCATTTTGCTATGACTGGTGGGGTGTATTTATCTAGTTATTGGTTTTCTGGCCATGTCTCTGCCCCAGTAGTACCATCATAGAGGTAATTTATAGTGTCTTTGATGGTGGTGAGAGGAGTTAGAGTTGCTTTCCAAATGCACCACATCTCAACTATTTGTCATTTCTTAGATAAAGAACGGGATATGTGTTCACAAACCCCTCACCCTTGTTTTGGGAGCAGTAGGTCAAGGGCAAAGTCTGAGGATCAAGACTACTGGGTTAAATCCTACTCTACTTTGGGACTTAGGTATCTTGGTCTCTCCGTGCCTCAGTTTCTCTGTTAAGAGATAATAATGCAGGCCGGATGCGGTAGACCAAGCCTGTAATCCCAGCACTTTGGGAGGCCGAGGTGAAGGGATTGCCTGAGCCCACGGGTTCAAGAAGAGCCTGGGCAACTTGGCGAGACCTCATCTCTACAATAAATCAAAAAATTAGCCGGGAGTGGTAGTGCACGCCTGTGGTTCTGGCTACTCGGAAGGTTAAGGCAGAAAGATCGCCTGAGCCCAGCAGGTCAAGGCTGGGGTGGCCGTGAGTGTGACTACTGCACTCCAGCCTTGGTGACAGAGTAAGACTACAACTCAAAATAATAATAAGAAGAAGATGAAGAATGCTGCCTACCTCACGGTATTAAAGGATGAAAACTAATTTGTTTGTATACGTAAAGCTCTGAGAACAATGCCTAGCACATATTAATATCTCAATGAATTTAAGTTGTTATTACTACGTGGATGGGAACCGTTTACTCTGCTCAGCCTTTCTGGGAACATGCTCAGCAAATTTAATCCACCAACTTCCTGGTTACTGGAAAAAGAGAAATGAGTTGTCCCAGATTCCCCTCTAGGGGACAGTGGAGACCGGCTTGTATTAAGGGAACAAATTCCCCCTTGTGCTGAAACGTTACAACCCAAACATTACGTGGTCTGGGGAATCCTCACAGAAGAGTGTCAGAGCTGGCCAGAAAAGCATAGGAGAACTACTATTATCAAAAACCACGCTCTTCTCTATTTATTTGTAGTTTCGCTGGCACCTTGGCCCCCGGGGGATTTGGCCTCCTGTCCCCATCCTTTGGTCCTTACCTTGACCAGCTTCCCTGAGGAAATCTAACCATCTTTGGCTGCTGACACCCAGGACCAGGCAGCAGAAAATGATGCCAATGGAAAGCTTCATCCTGCTACAGAGTCAAGGAAACACAACTAAGGATAATACATGTTTTGTTTTGAGTTTTTGTTGTCTGTAATATTGACCCATCCTTTCATTCCAAGAATAAACCCCACTCAAGTTAACACATACACGCACACGTGTGTGTATGTATAGATAAACGACAGATAAATAGATAGCATTTCAGAGGGTCTAGCCCTCCATTTCCATTTGTCACACTGGAATCCCAGTGTCTGAAGGATTGCAATGTACCCTTAGTATAAACCACGTTCCATTTCAATCATACCTGGTAGGTCGAGAAAACAAGCAAATAGGAAAAGAGAGACAGGAGCCAGGTGACACCACAGTAACATAGGTTTATTCTAAGGAGGAGAACCTGCAAGGGGACTCTAGAAAAATGAATCCCACTACCACTTACAGGCTTGGGCAGTTATAGGGCTTGAGGAGAAAATATTTGCTGTTGGTGTTGCTAGGGGGTAACTAAGGTTTGAGGTTATGGAAGTTGAGAGGAAACCTTGTGGTTAAGCTAGGTATTAGGATGCGTTACAACCTAGCCTAGTTGATCATTTTCCATCCCGGGGCAGCTAACAAAGTGGCGGGGGTGTCTAAGATGGCGTTACCCGGGCTAACAATTCCCTATCAGTCCTACAACCCAACTGTACAGGAAGTCTCCAAAGAGCCCTTTACAAATGCTGTGATCAGCATACCCCTCTGTAATATGAGATGAGTTAAACAATCAAAAAATATTTGTAAAATGCCTACTTTACCCATCACTGATTTCACACAGAAGAACATACCACAAAATCTTTGCCTTAAAAGTATTCAGATGTGAGCTCATGCCTGCTTGTTAATTCAAGAATAAAAAGAGAATGTTAGCATGGGAAAAAAAAGTATTCACATCTGGTAAAGTCAAAGTATCAGAATCAGTACATTCAGGAAAAACACAGAAAAAACTGAGATGCAGCACAGGAATGCTAATGGGGAAAGAGAATATTCAAAGAGCAAATCCGTTGAAAAGTTCTGGCATCTTACCTTCGACTGCCGACTCCTGCTGAGGCCTCCAGTGAAACTGAGCTGTGTCACCTGCTGGGGAGATGTGGCTGGTGCTATATATACTCACACTTTGCTAAGGGAGCAAACTTCTCTTTCCTCTTGCACAATCCCTCTTGGTCAGAACACTTTATCCAAAACAGCAGGAATTTCTTTCAATCAATGTATTTTTCCCATATTGCACAATGTGGTAAGTTCCAGAGGTGTAGCAAGATAGGAGTTTTCTGTCTGTTTCCAGTCTCAGTCCTAAGGGGGAAAGCTTTCCCCCCCTACTCAGTATTTGACTGCACTGTCAATTTACTGAGAAGGGTACACAGTATTAGAACCAGAGACTTGATTGTCTAAAGAATGTGTGAATGCAAGGTAATTGGAACAGCCGAACTCCACTGCAAGGGACAACTCAGAATGAAGATGGGGGTCCTAGGGTACAGGAGAAAGAAAGGAGAGGATAAAGTCCACCCAGGAAAATGAAACTGTCAACACTGGAAAAGGCTGTCCTCCAGTCTCCGGGGTACTCATGATCTGTTGCTATTGAAGGTCTTATGGCAGGTTAAATGAAGGATGCTATAACCCAGGAATGTAGAAGTTTGCTACAAAGTCATGTAGAAATGACACACAATAAAAATTAGCAGGAAATGGCCACAGATGATCAGAACAGTAAATTCAGAAGGAAAGCAGAGAGAGTTGGGGTGCACACCAGGAAACTGGATAGTGTGATGGTAGAGAACAGCTGTCTAAACCAGAAAAGCAAAACTCTGCTTTACTGTGTGAGTTTAGTAAAATGATCTTGGGAGGGAATTTCATGCAGGTGATAACAGGGGGCCAGAGTCCATGGCCCACTCACCTGCCCCATCCCTGCCCCTTCGTCCAAAAGGAAAAATTTAAAGACCATTGGGTTTCCCTAGCGGAGAAAGCATGAAGCATATGGAATGTGATAGAGACGATGAGAGAATCCAGAAGCCATCGAATCTGGCCTTCTTCCAATGGGACCCTGGGTTGAAAGCCTGAAGAAAGCTATAGGGCAAGTAAGGCCCCGCCCACGGAGTAATAACTCAGGATTTTTGCCTGAAGTATTTTCTGGGAGATGAGAAATGTGGGTTGTGTGTTGGTGATAACCGGGAAGTATTCTCCAAGACCAATGCAAATCGCAGAGGCTTGGTAGAGAGATGGTGGAAGATGGCACAGAGCCAGAAAGGAAGTGACACTTGAACTCAACCAGTAACTAAGAAGAATGAGGATTCTGTTAGAAGACTAGGTGAATGTTGGGTAGGAAATTATACAGAGGAGAGGTGACCCAGGATAAAGCAAATCAGCAAGGATTACACCATGTCTGAAGCCCTTGTCGAATTACACAGCCATAAAGAAGGACAAACATATGAACTCCCCGGCAACTTGGATGGATTTATAGTCTCTCCTACTCAGTGGTCTATCACAGAGACAAAGAACAGAGTACCATATGTACCCTGAACATTTACCATAATACTACAAGCAAGGGACTGGCAGAAGCGGGATACTTGCTGGGATTGGAGGGGAGGACACAACATCAATAACTGACCTTAAACCAGGTAAAGTGGGGACCAAAGGGAGGTCCAAACCTTACCTATACGATGACCACTTGTGTACCCAATCCTAAATTGTACCCATATCTTTAAAATAAAACAATCAATCAATCAATAAAATTTTAAAATGAATAAAATAAACGCTTGTCTTAGTTTAGAGCCTGCCAAAATGAGGAATCATGCCTCTTTCTGAGGCTTGGCCTTGTTTTAAGTCTTTTGGGCACAGTAGTGATAGGCAAGTTATCGGGCAGATAGCTCTCTCTTTCTTGTTTTTTTGAGTCAGAGTCTCACTCTGTCGCCCAGGCTGGAGTGCAGTGGCATGCTCGTGGTCACCGCAGCCTCGACCTGCTAGGCTCAGGGGATCCTTCCGCCTCAGCCTTCCAAGTAGCTAGAACCACAGACACGTGTCATCAACGCCCAGCTATTTATTTATTTACTTATTGTAAAGACGAGGGCTCACCAAGTTGCCCAGGCTGGTCTCAAACCCTTGGGCACAGGCAATCTTCTCCCCTCTGCCTGCCAAAGTGCTGGGATTACAGGCGTGAGCCACCGTGCCTGGCATGGGGCAGACAACTTTCCAAGGATTTCCCTGTTTCTCCGGTTTTTATCCAAGGCAATGCCAAGCAACATTTAGATATTCCCTACACAACTTCCATTTATTGGAAGAGGTGGAATTTCCTGTGGTCAGTGCAGTCTCAGAGCTGGCTTGGCTCACTTAGTCCTGGGAATAGGCAGGTTGGAGGGGAAGAGGAGGAAATGTCTCACAATCCACAGTCCCCTGGTCCCAGCCTTTTTGGGGGAACTGCTTCAGAAAGGAGAACATATGGGGCCAGTTCCCTTTGTTCCTACTTGCCTTGGGGGCAGAAATCATGGGCCCATGATCATATCCTGTTGTAATTACTTTACTCCCTTTGGAACCAGGACCAGGCAGCAGAAAATGATGCCAATGGAAAGTTTCATCCTATCTCAGAGTCAACGATAATACATGTTCCAATACTGAAGATTTACTCCCCCACTTCCTCTCCTCATTCAAGTCCTTCTCTTCTTTGATGGAAACGTTAGCAAGCAAGTACAATTTCTGCACACCAAGAAGAATTCCTCACAGGGACTTTGACACAACTTGTCAGTTTTCTTCCTTTGTTATTTAGTGTATTCTGCCTTCTGGGAAAGGACACACCATTCCTTGCAGTGCTAACAATAAATAATAGCAACAATCATCTATTTTCATTTGTTTCTCTTGAAAAAGAAAGAATTCCTGTTACGGCGATACCAAAATCTCCAGGTATTTAAAGAGATTTCTCAACAGTCTCCTGTGAGTGACTACATATCCTGGTTTACACGAGATAATCTCTGTGAGAGTCTATTGTCCAAGCTTAATAATAGTGGCACCTCCTTTTACTCTCAAACATGACCTGGATTGGATAATAAATTAGATGGTAACCCTGCTCTAATATTCACATGTGACCAGGTTGCTTGAGAAACACAAGGAATCTCCATCTTTTCTGCCATGATTAAGTTAAGAACACCAAGGCTTAATTCTATTAAGAATTTGCAAAACAAAACAAAAAATTGAAAAAGTCCAAAAGGTCACAGATCATGAATGAGAATGGCATTTCAGACCTAAGTCTCAATCTTGGAGGACCAGTAGAAATAGTTCTATATTCCCTAAATATAAAATGGGGAAAATAATGATAACTGCCACGTAGGGCTGTTGGGAGGATTAAATGATTCATGCTGACAGGGGCTTGGATTAGTTCAGCATACATGTAAAACACATGCTAGCTCTTCTGGCTTAACCAAGAAAATGTATAATATCTGATACCTCCCAGAAGACAGAGAGATTAATTAAAATATTATTACCAAGGCAATACATTATTAACACATTAATGAGTAAGATGGTCAATTAGAATCACAGTTTTAAAGATCAAGTTTTAATTTGACAGGACATAGCAACCATATTTGAAATCTGGGTGTGTTTCAAGATTCCTTTGCTAGAAATAAGTGTTGCAGGGATATGTTTCTGACCATCTGCATTTCTTGCTGCTACAACAGAAGAAAGAACATTTCTTCTTTCCTTGCTGAATTTTCTTCACCAGCAGTTAGGAGCCTGTAGTTGTTTAAGGATAAATCCTGGAAACCCACTTGGTAGAGACGAGAAAGAGAGACTGAATTGAGAAGCTCAAAACTTACCACAAGGAAAAGAAAAAACCAAAGTAGAATTATTAACAGATGGAATATTGAATATATACTCTTTTGCATCCTTGGTATAGTTAAACAATACTTAGTAGAATTTTCATCTGCAAAAGCTCCTTTTTCTCTTACTCTTTGGTTTTCTCTTTCCAATATGAACTACTTATTTAATATCTGGGTGAGAACATTTGTGGGCATCCTTTCAGCCTA